AAAGTAATGAAAAGCAAGGACCTAAATCCAAGACTACTGTATCCAGCCAGACTATCATTTGAAATCAATGTTGAAATAGAAAGCTTTCCAGATGACAAAACAAGTTAAAGGAGTACATTACCAGCAATGCAAGAAATGTTAAAAGGACTGCTTAAGGAAAGAAGAGAGGATCATAAGCATAAAGAAAATAACAATGGCAATAAATAAGTACCTATCAAGAACAACCTTAGTGTAAATGGATTCAATGCTCCAATTAAAAGACAAAGGGTGACTGAATGGATAAGAAAACATTACCCATATTTTTACTGTCTACAAGAGACCCAGCTCAGAACAAAAGATACACACAGACTGAGAGCTAAGGGATGTAAAATATATTCCATGCAAATGGAAAGGGAAAAAATCTGGGGTAGCAATGCTCATATCAGACAAAATAGACTTCAAAACAAAGAGACAAAGAGACAAAGAAGACATAATAAAAGACAAAGAAGGCCACTACATAATACTAAAGGGAATGATTCAACAAGAAAATATAACCCTTGTAAACATATATGCACCCTATAGAGGCATACCCAAGTTCATTAAAAAATCTCCTGATGGACTTTAAGGGAGAGATTGACAGCAATACAGTCATAGTAGGGGATTTTAACACCCCACTGACATCACTCGATAGACCTTCCAGACAAAAAATGCCAAGGAAACAGTGACTCTAAAGGAAACACTAGATCAGATGAATCTAACTGATATTTATATAATACTAGAGGCCCAGTGCATGAAATCATGCGTGGGTAGGGTCCCTAGGCCTAGCCTGTGATCAGAGCCATGTCCACCACTCCGCAACGCTGCTGCCGCCCGGGATGCTTTGCGACGTTGCTGCTGCCCCGGGACACCCCGGAATGCTCCGTGATGCTGCTGCCGCCCTGTGACCCTTTGTGACGCTGCCACTGCCCCGTGAGTCCAGTCCCCAGACCCACTCCGCTGCCACCCAGCCTGGTTCCCATGGTTCCTTGTTGGCCATCCAGTGATGGGAGCCTGCGGGCTTGGGGGAGGGACCGAGAGGTGATCAATGCACCTTATAGCGACTGGTTGATTGGTCATTCTGATTGTGATGCCTGGCCTTTTATTGTTATAGATTTCACCCCAAAGCAACAGAATATACATTCTTCTCAAGCTCACATGGAACATTCTCAAAGGTAGACCACATGATAGTACACAAAACAAGTCTATACAAATTCAAGAAGATTGATAAAATACCAAGCATCTTCTGAGATTACAATGCTTAGAAGTTAGAAATAAATTACAATTAAAAAAACCTAAAAGACACATGAAGGCTAAATAGCATGTTGCTAAACAATGAATGGGTTAACAATGCAATCAAGCAAGAAATTAAAAACTTTCTGGAAACAAATGAAAATGAACACACAACCAGGCACAACCTATGGGACACAGTGAAAGGAGGCTGAGAAGGAAGTTTGTAGCATTACAGGTCTACCTGAAGAAACAAGAAAAAGCACTAATAAACTAACCCTACAACTAAATGAATTAGAAAGAAAATAGCAATAAAAGCCCAGAGGAATAGAAGGAAGGAAATAAAAATCAGAGCAGAAATAAGTGACATAGAGAATAAAAATCACTATAAAATATCAATGAATCAAAGAGCTTGATCTCTGAAAAGTTAAACAAGAGGATGAACCACTAACCTGGCTCATCAAGAAACAAAGAGAGAGGACCCAAATAAATAAAATCAGAAATGAAAGAGGCAATATAACAATGGACAACATAGAAATACAAATGATTGTAAGCAAATACTAGGAAGAACTACTAATATATGTCAACAAACTGGACAACCTAGATGAAACAGACAAATTCTTAGAAACATGCAATCTTCCCAAACTCAATCAGGAAGAATCAGAAAACCTGAGTAGGGTGATAACAACTGATTAAATTAAAGAAGTAATTTAACAACTTCCAGCAAACCAAAGTCCTGTACCAGACAGATTTACAGGAAAATTTTGCCAAACATTCAAAGAAGAACTAACACCTATCTTTCTCAAAATATTCAAAAAAAAATCCAAGAGGAAGAAACACTTCCAAGCTCTTTTTATAAAGACAGCATTATCCCAATACCAAAGCCAGATAAAGACACTACAAAGAAAGAAAATTACAGGCCAATATCCCTGATGAACACAGATCCTAAAATCCTGAACAAAATATTAGCAAATTGGATCCAACAATATATTAAAAAGATCTTACACCATGATCAAGTGGGATTTATTTCAGGGATGCAAGGCTCATACAATATTCACAAATCAATAAATATGATACATCACATAAACAAATTGAAAGATAAAAACCGTATGATCATATCAATAGATACATAAAAAGAATTTGACAAAATCCAGCACCCTTTTTTGAAAAAAATTTGCAGTAAAGTTGGAATAGAGGGATCACAACTCAACATAATAAAGACCATATATATCAAACCTACAGCCAACATAATACTCAATGGTCAACAACTAAAAGCTTAAATCCCTCTCATTTCCTCTCTGTAAAAAATCAATAAAATATAAAAAAAATAATGAAAAAAAATAATAATAAAAGCTTTCCCTTAAGCACAGGAACAAGACAAGGATGTCCGCTTTCACCACTCTTACTCAACATAGTACTGGAAGTCCTAGCTACAGCAATCAGAGAACAGGAAGAGATAAAAAGCATCCAAATTGGAAAGGAAGAAGTAAACCTCTCTTTATTCACAGATGACATGATATAGTACATAGAAAACACTAAAGACTCCACCAGGAAACTGCTAGACTTAATAAATGAATTCAGCAAAGTAGCAGGATACAAAATCAACATCAAGAAACTGATGGCAGCAGAGACCATGCCATCTTGAAGGGGAGACTGGCTGTGATCAGAAGCCCAGCCTTACCTTCAACCTGGGAGACCTGGGAGACCTCCCGGGCCCCTACAACCACATCACCCAGGGACCAGCTGCCTCAGCTGCAAACCCACGACAACCAAGACTCCAGTCTCCCTGGCCGCTGGTGCCTAAAAAGTTTGTCCAGGGTGAGACAAAGCGGCACCGAGTACACAGGCAGGCCCTGCGCCTTCTCACAGAGCAGATAGAAGGAACAGCTGAATCAAACAACATTCACCCAGAATTGGTGAATTAAACACAGCTGGTGAAGCAATCCATGGATGGAAAGGTCAGATATCTCCTAGAGAAAGGTGAGATCTGGGAAGCAGGCTGGAGGGAGAAAGGCACTCAGCGGGGACTAGAGTCTCAGAGGGAGACTGCACTCTACCAAATCTGCAGCCCTTGAGTTCAGTGTAGTCCTCAAATGTGGAAGGTGGTCCACAGGGCTGCTGGCAGAAGGGGACTCTAAGATATAAGCCCACAGTCGTGGGAAACTGTGCCCAGAAAGGCAGCCTAAAGTTCTATAATGGCCACACAGTGCTGGGAGGAGAAAGATGCAAGGTGGCGTGGTTCCTTTGTCTTTTTTTTTTTTCTTTTTTTACCTCCTTGCTTTTGCTTGCTAAGTCCAGTACATAGGATCTTCTAATAATAAACACTCACCAAGACTGCAGGGGAAAGTTGTTTTTGTGGAAACTGGGGATCAGTCATCCCTCCAACCCAGAATTAAGTGCGGCACGGAAAGAAGAATCTAAACACTGGGTAGAAGGGCCATTTAGTCCGGGAAATTAATACAGAAACACTGCCACCCAGTGGTTGTTTCAGAAATTGACTCTTGTGTAAACACAACTGAAAGCAGGCAGAGAAACAAAGTGAGCAGAGAGATCCCACCTGCTTGAAAACAAGGTTGTGGCTCATGACACAGAGGAGTGGTGGATCTCAGGGAATTTCAACACTATGCTGACTACCTGACAGGAAACAGATGTGCCAGGCAGAACAGTAGCGGAAGTGAATGAACTTCACTACTTTACTTTTTTATCTTTTACTTAAGAAACTAAAATTTTCTTCTCACTTGATTTTACTTTTTTATTATTATATTTTTATTTTTAAGTGTTACTATTACTACTATTATTTTACCTTTTTTAAAGTTTTATTTAATTTTATTTTTATTTATTTGATTTTATTTTGGGATTAGTGTTCTACATTCTATTTTTGTTTTTCCCTTAGCATTATTTTACTCTATCTCAATTTTTCCTTTATGCCAACACTGTCTTCTTCACTTTCCCCCTTTTCCATCCTGTTTCTCTTACCCTGTTACTGCCTTAGTTTTTCTATATCCTTTCTTTTTACTCCCTGTTAAAAATTGATCTTACTCATATATATATAATTTCCTCTCCCCTGCTCCAAGTCCATGCACACTTCTCTCTTCTCTTTCTTCACTAGCCAAATTTTTTCATCCTTTTTTTCCCTTTTTATTTCTTTCTGTCTTGTTGTTGTTTGTTTATAGTTTGTTAATTTTTTTGCTTCGGTTTTTCCTCCCCTCGCTTGTTCTCCTCTTCTACTAATAGCCTAATTAATTTCAATCACCAACTCAGACCTATCTACTCTCTAGTCTCCTTTTCCAATAGTAGACGGAACTTTTACCATTTGTAACAGCATGGATGGAACTGGAGAGCATTATGCTAAGTGAAATAAGTCAGTTGGAGAAGGATAAATATCACATGATCTCACTCATATGTGGGATATAATGATCAACATACTAGTAATTTGATGAACAAGAATAGATCCAGAGACAAATGGCAGGAGAGGGGAAGTTAGAGAGCAACCAAAAAACTTGTATGCATGCATATTAGCATAACCAATGGACACAGACACTGGGGTGGTGGGGACTTGCCCGGGGTAGGAACGGCTGGGGGTTGAGGGGTGGTCAAGCAGGGAAAAAGAAGCCATATGTGAAACTTTAGACAATAAATAAATAAATAATAATAAAAACTTAATGAAAATTACTTGTAATGCTAAAATATAAATAAATAAATAGGGGTGCGTGCGTGCCCACCCCTCATGGAGCAGCTTGTGGTTCACGCCGCGGCGGGGCCGAAGCCTCTGGTGTGGCTGTCTCTGATGGAGTCATCAAAGTGTTCAATGACATGAAGGTACGTAAGTCCTCAACACCAGAGGAGGTGAAGAAGCACAAGAAGGCGGTGCTCTTCTGCCTGAGTGAAGACAAGAAGAACATCATTCTGAAAGAGGGCAAGGAGATCCTGGTAGGTGATGTGGGCCAGACAGTAGACGACCCCTATACCACCTTCCTCAAGATGCTGCCGGACAAAGACTATGCCCTGTACGCAACCTATGAGACCAAGGAGAGCAAGAAGGAGGACCTGGTGTTTATCTTCTGGGCTCCTGAGTCTGCTCCTCTTAAGAAGAAAATGATCTATGCCAGCTCCAAGGATGCCATCAAGAAGAAGCTTACGGGGATCAAGCATGAATTACAAGCAAACTGCTACGAGGAGGTCAAGGACCGCTGCACTCTGGCAGAGAAGCTGGGGGGCAGTGCTGTCATCTCCCTGGAGGGCAAGCCTTTGTGAACCCCCTCCAGCCCCCTGCCTGGAGCATCTGGCAGCCCCAGACCTGCCTGTGGGGGGTTGCAGGCTGC